ACCATATAAAGGATAGAGTAAGCAACCTCCAACTCAGTTTCTCTTATTCTTTTGTCTCCTTTAGGACAAAATTTTACAATATCAAATATATCATTTGCAATAAATTATGCAACAATGAAGAATCATAGATTTTTTTCAAACATTGAGTATAACAAAAGAACTGTATATGCAAAGCAGCCCCCAAATGTTGAAGGATCTGAGAAACCAAAGAAGAAGGCAAACAAATCCAGTTTGTTGACAAAGGGTGTTTGGTTGGGGGAACTTACAGACAGGAGCATAGTCTCATGTGGCAGCAAGACGCGTATAATAGATCCCAGCAGTGTTAATTCGGAGACCCAGGGCTTATATACCATAGGGAAAGGATGCACTCCAGGAAGACAGTTTGAAAAGAACCCTCCAGGACAGGCAAGAATGATTTGCGCATCATAATCTGTGCAAAATCATCAAGGTTGGCATGTTCTGTACTAAGGACAGTAAATAACATAGGAATCAGAAAGCACTCATGGGCCTAGGGTTTAGAAGTCATTGGTGGGTTAGCATCCAAGATGGAATCACTTTTGTCTCCACAAATGATAAAAAAAAATGTGACACCAATGCAAAAGTTAGATGGCTTTCAAATGCTGTAACTTCCAAGATTCCAAGCATACGCTATTGGCCTGACCTTCTCAAATCACTGCTATAAACACTCAGTTTTCATTTTTCTATTATTCACCATGTTGTAACTTAGACTTATATTGTCTCTTTTTCTACAATTACATTCAAACTTCCATGATAAAATTTTAGCCACTTTGAGTGAGTTCTTCTTATCTGCCTCAACCTCTTGATACCATTTTCACTCTTATATGTTCCTACTAGATTCTTCCCCTTGCCTTTGCTTCCCTGTCTCCATATATGTCCTCCCAAATTTCTGCTCGTTCAGTGCTACTCTTACTTGTATTTTGTACTCTTTTTATTTCCTGAGCGTTCTTAAAAGCCTGCTCATTGCACACACACTGTTCTTGCTGCACATGGGCCCCTTCTACCAGTTCATTTTCTTGGTCTGTTCTATCACTCTTATGCTAATGCCTCACCAATAATTATCTTCAGCCCTTACTGTAATACAAAGTTACATTTATAGTAAAATTGCCCAAAGAAAAATGGCTACAATGATACAGACTGGAGAACTGAACTCATCCTATCTTCCTTTTAAATAGATGATCTAAAGCTTTATGTCCTGTAAGTTTCCAATTTGACTTACAGGACATCTCCACAGGGATAATCTCCAGCATTTTAAAAATAACAAATTTGTCCTTGCTTGATCCTTTCTTCATTCTCCCTGAAAAAAAACACCTTTCCCTTCTTTGTCTCTTCCCTGAATGTATAAAATATAAAATACTCTCCCCCTGTTTCTTTGATGACAATGCTTTTAATTCTTTACTGTTCCCATATAGCCTAAGAACTTGCTAGTTCAAGCCTAAAAAGAAAAACATAGTTTATTTACTTATCCTTGCCCACCTACTCATTCATAGTGCTATTAAGTTCTTGTTTTCTTCAAACACAAATTTATTGATGTTGTGCCTTTTCTCAATAATCCATTATCTATCAGTTTTAGGACTAATTTTATATCCAAAGTCTTTTTTTAATGGAGTCTATTTTATTTAACCAAAGTTTTCAGTATACTTCCAACATGAATTCTCTACAATGTTAAGCCAATTTTTCTTTCATCCTTTTTATATTCAAGCTCATTTCTATCTCTATAACTTGCCTGGAGTCTAAACTTCAAATATAAAATTATTTTTCCTCTTTGTAATCTACATTGTTTTATATATCTGACTAGGAATTGATTAACATTATTATCTTTATTTCTGGCACAGAAATATGAACATAGATATATGAAGAGGCTAGGGCTAGAAGAATCAAACTTCATTTTATGGATAAAGAAATTTGGCTGATTCTCTCTAAATCCAGGATTTTCAAGGGCAAGTAGTGTTCTGTCTTTAACATTCACCACAGAGGAGTTAGTCTCAGCAGGTGCTTAATCAAATGTGTTGGATTCATTTTAATTTGAAAATGAAAAGAACATCTTGGTAAAGTTTAATTTTCACTGGGGTTACTCAGGAAAAAATCATTTCAAAACAACCTCTAGGAATGATAAAACAACGGGATAATGACTCACAAGTCTACTTTCTAGATCTTGCCAATATGAAATATATGACTTTGGCAAATAGCTTTCGATACCACTGATACCATCTGTTACTCTGTCCTGGTTGAGTCCTACACCATTGCTCTTCCCTAATAGGTAATATGAATTCACGTAGTGCTCCCTTCAAAGCTTATCAAGCTAAGGAAGGCCTGAGTGAAAAAGGAAAGAATTCATTGAATAATAATTACCATTCATTGAAATAGAGAATAAAATGGTAGTTGCGAGGTGGTTGGGTTATAATCCTGCATGATGAAATCCCCAAATATCAAAACCTCTGAAGTCTAAAATCTCAAAAGTCCCAATCCTGAAAGATCAAAATTCCAAATATAGAATTCTAGAAAAAATGATAAAACAAAAAATTTAAAAGACATTTATTTATATTTTCAAAACAGAACTTATTTGAGGAACATATAAAAACATGACAGAACACTTCATAGACTACCTTACATAATGAGATAAGCAGTAATAACATACATATTTTTGCTAGCATAAATTCCCAGGTCACACAGTCACACAGGCATAATGGTTATGAGCAGACAAACTGTATTCCTAAAGAAGTAGGTCAAAAAGTGAAATGTATAAATGTGTATCACTATAGTTGGCATTTGTGTGCACCCAACTTTATAGCTGTGGTCATCTGAAATATCATGATGGTTAACATAAGTCTTTTGATATGCTCAATCAGAAAGTTCAGTGAATCACCACTGTATATGCAGTAGCCCAATGAGATGAGATCTTGAGAAATTTTCTCTTTCACAGATGCAGAGGTACAAAAAGACAGCCCTTTATTTACTAAGGAAGTTTTAACATTTTCATGTTGAAAACCAAGGAATCTGGTGATGTCACTCTCAGTCTTAAGCCAAAGGACCCAGGAACCAAAGTGGCAGGGGCACTGATACAGGTCCCGGAATCTGAAAGCCAAAGAGCCTAAAGTTCTGTGTCCAAGAGAGCAGCAGAAAAATCTGTTTCAGCTCTTGGAGAGAAACCAATCTGTCTTCTGTATTTGTTCTTTCCTGGCTCCTAGTAAATTCTATGGTGCCCACCAAACACTGAGGGCAGATCTTCCCCACCTAGTCCATTCAGACGTACATGCTAAACTCTGGGGGCATCCTCAGTGACACACCCAAAACAATGCTTTATTAAGTTTCTAAGTGTTCCTTAATCCAGTCAGGTTGACACCTAAAATTAGGTCCACAAATCCACCCTTTGTCAATTTGGAACCCATAGGCATCTTTTTATACCATACTTAATTTCCAAATAAAACATACTTAACTTCCAAATAAAGACATTAACAAGGGAATAGTTTTGCCTAATACGATTCACCTAAGATGATGCAACTATCCTATGACTAACGCGAAATGCACTAACCTCTTCCCGATAATCTTTTAGAATTTCAACATTTAGGGTGTTAATCTTTTGGGGCTGTGATTTTTGGGACTTCAGGCATTAGAAATTTTAGACTTTAGAGATTTCGATCTTTTGGTATGTCAACATTATGGTGTTTGGAACTGTGCCTTTTGGGATTATGATTGGTACCAACTTGCCAGAGGCTAATGGGTGGAGAAAATGGAGAGATGTTAATTATAAAACAGAAACTTTAGTGATAAGATGGACATACATTCTTCATTTTGTATCAGAATACTCCAGACTATTCCTATACTTCCCATGTTCTGTTTTTTATTCTGTACTCTATTATTATTATTATTATTATTATTATTATTATTAGAGACAGGGTCGTACTCTGTCTCCCAGACTGGAGTGCTATGTATGATCAGTAACTCATGAAAGCCCCAAAATCCTGGGCTCAAACCATGCTTCCACCTCACTGTCCCAGGCAGCTGAGACTACAGGCCTATGCCAACATGCCTGGAGGAGTTCATTAGTAATAATATCTCAGTTGGTGTATTCTCTTTGTAGGAAAGTTTATTTTTATTACAATATTCAGTTCATTTAACAGGTATAGCTATTTAGATAGCCTACTTTTTCTTGTGTTAGTTTTAATAATTTTGTAAAGGATTTAAAAATTTCATGCTAGGTCTCTAATTTATTGGCATAACTTTAAATAGTAATATTCCATTTTTTTAATAGCTGTGGTATCTCAGTAAATATTTTTTCCTTCCCATTTTAGCAATGTGTCTTTTTTTATGTTTATTTTGACCAGGCTTTCTCCGCGTTTATAACCTTCAAAAAACCAACTTTTTATGGCTGTGTATTATTCCATGGTGTATAGTACCACATTTTCTTTATCCAGCCTATCATTGATGGGCATTTAGGCTGATTCCATATCTTGAGGCCACTATCCTTGGTGAATCAATACAGGAACAGAAAACCAAATACTGCATGCTCTCACTTATAAGTGGGAGCTAAATGATGAGAACACATGCATACCAAGAGGGAAAAAAACACACACAGCGTCTCTCAGAAGGTAGAGATTGGGAGAAAGGAGAAGATCAGGAAAAATAACTAATGGGTACTAAGCTTAATACCTGGGCGATGAAATAGTCTGTACAACCAGCCCCCACGACACAAGTTTACCTGTGTAACAAGCCTGCACATATACCCCTAAACTTAAAATAAAAGTTTAAAGAATTGCCCTCTTTTAATATACGTCTATATTTCACTTATATCTGCCCAAATTCCATTATTTTTTTTTTCATTCTACTTCCTTTGGGCCTATTACTTTTATTTTCTTAGCTTCCTGAGATGATGACTTTGATCATTGATGCTAAAACAGTTTTCGTTCCTAATAGTGCTGACATGCACTCATTCTCTCTTGACTGGGACACTCTACACCCACTAAAAGAGCTCCACTTGTCTTTATTTGAATAACTCAAATCCATTCTTTTTGTCTTAGCTAAAAGATATTAGGCAAGGCACTTTACCTTTCTGCAGTGAGAAAGAGGCAAGAGAAGAGAGAAAAGAGAAAAATAGAAAAAAAAAAAACCCAAAATGTAGAAAATACAGTTAGACTAGAACCTCCCTAAAGTTCTACTGGTCCTAAAATTCTTATCCTTTAAATAGTGTGAAACACTTCTTTATGCTTTCCGATCCTCTAACTAAAAATATGCAGCTTCCATGAGGTTGGTGTATGAAAGGGCTTTTACATTTGGAAAAGTTCGGTTGTAAAGGTGGTTAAATTTATCTCTTTGAAGGAACTGTGTGCCTAAAGTCTCAGCCTAAAACTTTTTCTGAAATTCCTTATATTAAATTTCACATAGTCTGGTAAAAATCTGTCTGACACACACATATATTCTTTTACATACATTTAAATGTCTATAAGAAATGTGTGGGTAAATAAATACATTATGCCAGGTATAAGGATTTTGATATTGCATTACATTTACTTTTAGTTTTTAAAAATTTTTAAATAATTTCAACTTTTAAATTTAAGGGGTACATGTGCAGGTTTGCTACATGGGTATACTGTGTGATGCTGAAGTTTGAAATATAAATGATCCGTTCATCTGAGTAGTGACCACAGTACCAACAGTTACTTCTTCAACCCTTGTCCCTGTTCCACTGTCCCCATGGAAGTCTCCAGTGCCTACTGTTGCCATCTTTACACCTATGAGTACCCAATGTTTAGTTTCCATTTATAAGTGAGAATATATGGTATTTGATTTTCTCTTCCTGCAATAATTCACTTAGGATAATGGCCTGTAGCTGCATCCCTATTGCTGCAAAAACCATGATTTCATTCTTTTTCATAGCTGTATAGTATTCCATGGTGCATATGTACCACATTTGCTTTATTCAATACACTGTTGATAGGCACTTAGGTTGATTCCATGTCTTTGCTATTGTGAGTATTGCTGTGATGAACACATCAGTGCATGTATATTTTTGATAGAATGAGTTTATTCCTTTTGGATATATACTAATGGAATTGCTGGTCACATGGTAGTTATGTTTTAAGTCGTTTCTGAATCTCCAAACTGTGTTCCACAGTGATTCAATTAATTTGCATTTCCTACAGCAGTTTATAAGAATTCCCTTTTCTCCATGGTATCATCAACATCTATTTTTTTTTTTTTGACTTTTTAATACTATTCATTCTTACTGGTGTGAGATAGTATTTCATTGTGATTTTTATTTGGCTTTCTCTGATGATTAGCGATGTTGAGCATTTTCTTATGCTTGTTGGCCACTTGTATGGCTTGTTTTGAGAAGTATCTCTTCTTGCCTTTTGCCCACTTTTTAATGGGGTTGTTTTTTGCTTATTGAATTTTGCTTGCTAAGTTCCTTACAGATTATGTGTATTAGACCATCGTCAGATGCACAGTTTGTGAATATCTTCTCTGATTCTGTAGGTTATCTGTTTACTCTGTTAATAGTTTCTTTTGCTATGCAGTAGCTCTTCAGTTTAATTAGGTCCCACTTGTCAATTTTTTTTTGTTGTTGTTGCAATTGCTTTCGAGGATTTAGTCATAAATTCTTCCCCAAAGTCAATGTCCAGAATGCTGGGTCCTAGGTTTTCTTCCAGGACTCTTATAATGTGAGGTCTTACATTGAAATATTTAATTTATCTTAAGTTAATTTTTGTATAAGGTGAAAGATAATTTAATTTTATTCTTCTGCAGATAGCTAGCCAACTATTCCAGCACCGTTTATTGAATAGGAAGTCCTTTTCCCACTGCTTATTTTTATTGACTATGTCGAAGATCAAATGGCTGTAGGTGTGTAGTTTTATTTCTGAGTTTTCGATTCCGTTACATTGGTCTTTGTATCTGTTTTTGTACTAGTACCCTCATGCTGTTTTGTTTATGTTAGCCTTGCAGTATCGTTTGAAGTGATGCCTCTGGCTTTGGCTTTGTTTTTTCTGTTGTTTTTTTTTTTTGGTACCATATGAATTTTAGATTTTTTTTTTCTAATTCTGTGAAAAATGACATTGGTAGTTTTATAGGAATAGCATTGAATATAGATTGCTTTAGGTATGTGGCCTTTTTAATGACCTTGATTCTTCTAATCCATGAGCTTGGAACTCTTTTTTTTATTTGTTTGTGTCATCTCTGATTTCTTTCAACAGTGTTTTGTAATCTTCCTTATAGATATCCTTAACCTCCTTTATAAATATATTTCTATATATCTTATTTTTGTGGCCCTTATAAATGGGATTGTATTCTTGATTTGGCTCTCAGCTTGAACATTATTGGTGTACTGAAGTGCTACTGATTTTTGTACATTGATTTTGTATCCTGAAACTTCACTGAAGTCATTTATTAGCTCTAGAGGCCTTTTGGTGGAGTCTTTAGAGTTTTCTGGGTATAGAATAATATTGTAAGTGAAGGGAGACAGTTTGACTTCTTTTTCTATTAGGATACCATTTATTTCTCTTACCTGAATGCTGAGGCTAGGACTTTCAGTACTATGTTAATATGAGTGGTGAGTGTGGGCATTCTTGTCTTGTTCCAGTTCTCAAAGGGAATGGTTCCAGCTTTTGCCCATTCGGTATGACATTGGCTGTGGGTTTGTCATAGATGGCTCTTATTGAGGTATGTTTCTTCAATGCTTAGTTAATCAAGAGTTTTTATCACCACACAAACAGAATTATAAACAAAAATCCTATGATTATCTCATTTGTTTTCAATATTACAACTAAAATTTAATCTTGGTTTAGACAAGGCTTCAAGAAGTAGAAGAAACTTTAGGGAAACTGGAGAGCATGTGACCTTCTGTTGAAAGGGTGGCAGCTACCCTATTTGAGTAGATGGATGTCATCCAGGAAGACAGTTCAGGGTAGGAAGACATTCCATCTTACCAAAAGAAAAAAAAAATTAAGATTTTTATATGTTATCTTCCAATATCTGAGGATGGATAATTTTATAAAAGTTTTTTAAAACATGGGAATAGGTCACATCTATGAGTCAAATGTGGATCTCTGTGGTGCTGCTGCCAAGAAAGATTTTGTATTTTTACTGTAGCTTTTGTTTTATTTAACAGAGTAAAAGTTTAGTTGTTTACTCTTGTTTTCTTTTAAAAACATATTCTTTAATGTAGAATACTCTTACTAGGTTGGTGCAAAAGTAATTATGGTCTTTCCCATTGCACCAACCTAAATAGCAATACTAAAAGAAAACTGAAGCCAAAAATAGCTCCTGCCTCAAACACAAAGAGTAGAAACATGCTTTCTTGAGTAGCTCTGGACTGGCCACTTCTTTAACAGGCTGACAATCCTCTGTAGTGGGTCCTAATTATGTCCTCTGATTTTAAAGTTCCTCACTATTTTATTCGTGGCACATATGAACAATTGTCAACTAAAATCCATGTTATTTGATATGCACAGTTGTATGAACATTTTGGGGGGAATTATAGATGACAGAGTTATATGTTCTTTTTTATTAATTTATTAATTCATTCAGCATGTATTTATGGGATATGTACTAAATATCAGACACCAAGTTTGCTATTGGGGATAAAATGATAATACAAGACAGGGTCTATACTGTCATAGTACTTTTGGTTGATTGGTAGATATAGGTATTAATGAAATAATCATGTAAAAAGTATAAAATTACCACCGTTGGAAAATACTGTGATAGGGAAGGCCCTCAAGTAAGAAAAGAGCTTCAATTTTTATTTGGCAATGATCTAGGTGAAGAGGATTTGGATTACATAAACAAAACTTGGTGTTGGTGCATAGGGAGCTCTAAGATGTATCCCGAATTTTAAAAGGACGTAAGCAAAAGAGGATCCTTTCAATAGAGTTCCCCATAACTATAATAACAATATTAAAAATCCCAAAGCCTCAGAGGTCTGAGCTCTGGAACAAATATAATGGCAATAGTCATCATTTGTGTTTCAGCAAGAAAGAAAAATATAAAAAAGAGGGGGTTTCAATGGAATAATGTATTTAAATGGTAGAAAGGAAATTGAACAATTACAATTTTTTGCTTTTATCTCTTTTGTCAAAGTGAATGAACTTCAGAAGGAAAATGCTAAGAGGGGAAAGTAACCTAAGTTAAAAAAAAAAAAAAAGACTGAGTTAATTTGTCTCCAACTCACCCACATAATTTATACAGGAGAGACAGGGTTTGAATTAGACATTTAAAAAGCTAAAGGAATGAAAATTGGTTGTCATGCTCCCCATGGCTCTTATGAATTGCTTCTTTGTGCTGATTGATACTGTCTTAACTCCCCTGTCCTTTTGATCCTATTGAGGCAGATGTATAAATCCCCTAGACATCTTAATCGACACCTATGAATGCAACCCTCAGGTGAGTCTTTGTGATCATGTCTCAACTTCACTGGAGAACTTCAGCTAGCCTACTTTTTATGGAAGAGTTAGAGAAGCTTGGATTTGGAAGTCATTTTTTCTTCTCCAGTACAATGTATTACAAAAGTGCCTTCTTAACAGGTCTGTGATTATAGTCAAATGAGTTACTATTTGTAAGAAGTGTTTTGACCATATTTATCTTTAACACTAAAGACATCAAGAGATTAGGTCTCTAATTGCTTATTTAGTTTAATCAAAATATTCCAAAGACCCAAATATAATGCCTAGAAAAATGCATATTTTATGTAAAATGAAGGTTTTACGTCCCAATTTATGGATTACATACATCAAAAAGTACTCTGCTTTGGACAAAAATCATGGCATTGTATTTAGATTAAACTAGAGTCTAAATTTTAGCTTTTCCATTTAATATGTGACCTTATGGAGCTGAGAAAAATAGGAATCACATCAATGTCATAGGAATATTCTAAGAATTAAATGTAATAAGCCTACAAAATAGTGGTTAGCAATAAGTGTGGTTGGCTACATATATGTAATTTATCATTATTATTATTTATAAAAGTTGTATTTCCTTGGCTTGAGTACTAGTATAACAGGGCAGCAGGACAGGGCTCAGCTCCCTCCCTGATTGGATGTGCTTGAGGTTCTTGGGCTCTCTTTGCCCCAAGAATGAAGAAGGGGCCCTGGAGGCAAGGTGAGCTTACCTTTCAAGTAAATACTGGACTCAAAGAGTTTAGCAGACAGCGATTTATTAGGCAGAGAAAGAGAAAAAGAAGTAGAGAGAGCTCCCACGCTGCCGTGGGAGGGGAATCCGGAGGGGATATCTGCACAGTTAGAGAGTGGGAGACAGCTCCCACGTTGCCCGGGAGCACGAGGATCTGCAGCAGGAGTCCGCACGGGAAAGGGGCAGTGGGGCTTCAATCTGGGAGCTACTCCTGCCCCATTCATGTTCTTGTCCAATGAGAGGAGTTCTTTTAAACTTCCTCCTGAGTGACTGATCTTCGACTTTGATATCGGATTGGCTGTCCACCCTCAATAGAGCACCTTCCCCCCAGAGTTTTCAGCAACTTTTTTAAACAGAGGAGCATACCTGGAATTTTACCTAGCCTGCTCACAGGAAGTCAGACGAAGAACTCTAGGTTCTGGGATGGGGAGGTGGATGGAGGCATGGCGCTGGGAAGCTCTTGGCTTTGAAACTACGCCCCTTGTGGATTCGGTTTTCCTTAGCAAAGCCCCTCACTAGAAATCTTTGTACCAAAAGTTTCCTCTTTGTTGAAATATTTTCGATAAGTTTGCTAGGTGATGGACCTGAGACTCAGGATGCATAGGGGCTATGCCTGGGCTTCAGGAGAAGACTTATTTAGCCAAACAGATTCAGCAATTTTTGAGGTCAGGATGGGAAAAAGGAGAAAAACGAAGGCGGGGAAGAGGCAAGTAAAAAAAAAAATGTTGTAGATTGCACAATGTGTTTTAACCCCTTTGAATCTCCAAATCAGCAGTTAACACTACATTACTCAGTGATGCTTTGTTTTTAGTAGATAAGTGTGCATGACTGCATGTATGTGTGTGTCTGCTGTGTTCTATCTCCTGGAACCATGGTTCATCTAGGTAGAAGAGGGTACGTTGCCATCTATGTATTACCTCCACTATATTGGTTTGTGTTTTCACTGACAGGAACGGGAGAGTTCTGGCATTGGGTGAAAGGATTGGTGATGGAAGGCTTGGCTACCAATTCTAGCGTGTCATTGTTAAATAACCTTAGCATTCCAACTTATTTCCAGAACCTTCATATGTGAAACAACAGTAATTATAGTTAGCATATGCTCATAAAACCCACTGGGGTTGGCCATTAAAATATCTACTGTTATATAACATTGTAACAATGTAACAGACATACCATAGCTAACAACAAAGTCATGAGAGGATTGGTTAAACTCACTGGCGTTTTATAAAGGCTCTCTTAATGTGGTTGCAGTAATTATGCATGGTTTTAAAATTCTTTCTCTCATGAATAAAGTCACCATGGTTTTTCCTGACTCTCTATACAAACCCATAAAACAAAGCGGAGACAAATTTCACTTTACTTTTCACTTTGTGTATGTTTTCCCCTCCTCTTCACATCTACTCTCCTACCCGCCAAGCTTCTCTGCTTTCACTTTGCCTCTTTCTTTCGGGTAAAATACCTTGGCCTCTTTTCATATTAAATAAATTCATCAGCAACAATATTATTTTGCTACTCTGGCATCCATTGATTAAAAATCTGGCAGGTCGAAGGCCTGCAGAGGACGGATACAAAGATAACTCAGACTTGACTCAGTATTCGAAGTAGACCTCTTGTTTGTGTCTGGCAGCCTCTCCTTGAGGAAATCGCCTTTCGGAATACAGAGTGGGCATGTAACCATGGCAGGAGCCAAGAGTGTGCATATGAGCCAAGCAAGGTCAGGCAGAGTCTTTTTTCAGTATTTTCAAGGAGAGAAACATAAAGAGGCATTTTCTACTCTGGTTGTTGGAATAGGAGGATGGAAGCGTGGAACCGCCGACAGCCATCTTGCCTGCCAAGGAGATTCCATGCAGCATGGATTCAAGTAGAAAATTTCCTTGCTAACGTGTGTGTTCCTCAGCTTCCCTGGAATATTTGGCAATATATTTCCTTTGAACTTAAGCCAGTTCGAATTGGCTTTCTGTCACTGGCAATTCAAAGTGTCTTACAGAATACAGACTTCTAAGAGTTCATAGTGTAATATGAAAATACAGCTAGAATCGTAAAATTGTCCTGAGGTTACCAAGCTGAACTGTACAAGTATTTCCACTTGTGATTAAAAGGGGCCGGGCGCCGTGGCTCACGCCTATAATCCCAGAACTTTGGGAGGCCGAGGCGGGTGGATCACGAGGTCAAAAAATCGAGACCATCCTGGTCAACATGGTGAAACCCCGTCTCTCCTAAAAATACAAAAATTAGCTGGGCCTGGTGGTGCGTACCTGTAATCCCAGCTACTCGGGAGGCTGAGGCAGGAGAATTGCTTGAACCCAGGAGGCGGAGGTTGCGGTGAGCCGAGATCGCGCCATTGCACTCCAGCCTGGGTAACAAGAGTGAAACTCCGTCTCAAAATAGATAAATAAGTAAATAAATAAAATAAAATAAAATAAAATAAAATATAAAAGGAACAATTTTTTTTTGCAATAAACCATTGCAACAAATATAGAAATGACATATTAACTGTTGCCCTAGCTTTGTCTTACCTTGATTCCAAGGTCCTAATGTTTTCAAAGAAACTCTAGTTTTATTGGTTGTGCTCAAGCTATGTATGCGGGGTAGTGGAAGTGAAGCTGTAGCTTTTTCCACCCCAGGATTTCTACTGGGCTTTCTCACTCACTGTAAATAAACATATCACCTAATGAAAACATCATACAATTAACTAAAACAACATTATAGCTATATTAACGAAAAGTCAGCCCCTTTACTTTTCCTTCCAACCGGATTGCCTCTCCAAAGCTCTGCCTGTTTATATTTTTGGAGTTACCACCAGCTGCATTAAATAGAAACTAGTTTTACACTAAAATCCCAGCACCCATTAACTGTCTTTGATCTCTTATTCGCAATGTGTATAGATTATAGCAAATTGTGAAAAGGCTACATTTTCTACCTACCATATTTGGTTTCCTTCCTTTTACAAGGCCTTTTTTCAACTACAAAAATAAATGACACTCTTTCAAATTCAATTTAACAATATTAATAATAATAAGGGTCAGATTATACAGTTTGGTGAGTACTATTAGAAATACTTTATTGATAAAAATGACAAATTGTAACATTTTTTCTTTCTAAGAGCTGAGCTTTCTACCTGTACAATTGGTACATCATCTCACACAGCATTTTAATAGAGAGAAAGAAATGCTGCAGATAGTAAACAAACTATGAAGCCTCTAAAACTGGACTATGCCAGAACAAACAATATATTAAGTATGGACTGGCATAAGAACAGGTAAACTAACCAATAAAATAGAATGGAAAAAAGCACAAATTAACCCAGCTACATTTAGAAAACTAGAATATCAAAAAGGTGGATATTAAATCTCTAGGGCAAAGTGGGCTATTTAAGAAATGCTGTTGGGAAAACTAGAGCCATTTTGAAAAAAATAAAATTAGACCAATTTTCTATAACATTAACAAGAATAAAGTCCAAATGTAAGAGAAATGTAAATGTAAAGTGGAAAACGTAAAAATGTAAATGTACAAAATGAATTTAAAATTTTTATAGGAAAAAATAGGTATGAGGATACACATTAGAATTATGATTTTTAAAAGTCCAGAGACAATAAAAGAAAAGTCATACATATTTGACTATATGATTCACCAGAAATTTTTGTGCAGAGAAAAGTATTCAGAAAGGTCAAAAGATAAATGATGTTAGGAGAAAATGTGTAATATATGTTAGAAACCACTATAAAAAAGAAAAAACAGGCCAAGATTCCATAGAAAAATGAGCAAAAAGAGATGATCTAAAAATAGTTCTTAAACATATGAAAAGATATCCAATGTTCATAATAAGAAAAAAATACAAATTAAAACTTCATGAAAACACTACTTCTTAATCAGCAGATTGGCAAAGCTTCAAACACTTGCAAACAGCTTCTATTGTGGAGATTGTGCAACTATAAGAATTCTCATCCACGCTATTGGGAATAAACAATTTTATCAAGTCTGTAGAGGGGAATCTGGCAATACGGTTTCTTCTTGCCATCAGCAATGGGGTTGGTTCCAGAATCCCTGGAAACCAAGGTCCAAGGATGCTCAAGTTCCACATATAAAGTGACTTTGCCATCTTTAAATTACTTGTAATGCCTACTATAATGTAAATGCTATGTAAATAGTTGTTACACTGTATTGTTTTAATTTGCATTTTTTTGTATTGTTATTTTTGTTTTCTTTTTTCTTCCCCAATCCACTGATTGGTGGGTCCCTGGCTGCGGAACCTGCTGATACAGAGGGCCAACTATATCTAAGAAAACTAATATGTACTTACTCTTTGATTCAGAAATATTTTCCTGAGAATTCATCCTAAAGATACATATCCAAAAATATGAAAATGCATATATTTACATTTCATATTTCTGTGATAGTGAAATATTAGCTGTTACACAAATTTCCAAACATGGATATTTTTCGAGCATAGACAGAAACACTAGAGTACTTGTTACACACAATGGTGTATTATGCAGCTGTAAAAATGAAAGAAAGCTGCTTTTTCTGTGAACTTTGTAGGGTCATTACCAAAATATATTGAAGAGTAATTATTAACGTGAAAAAGGCAAGGAGCAAATATATCGATCTATATCAATATAGATACATAATGCTATCTTTTGTTTAAGAAAGATGAGTAAATAAAATAAAAAAACTATGATCTAATAATCTTTACAAAAATGAACCAGAAAGGATAAATAAGAAAACAATGTAGCTGGCTACTTACAGGGAGTGAGGAAAAGCTATATTTCTGGATATAGCTTTTCTACACTTTGACTTTTGGAAGCATGTTAATGGGGATCTATATTCAGAATGTAACTTTATATCATAAGGCTGGAAAAGTACTCAGAAAATAAACTAGAAACAATCGAACTCATTCTTTTCAAATAAATAAAATAATCACACTGAGGGAAGAAAAGGTGTGACAGAACAAATTCAAGGACATTTTTACCCAGAATTTGACTAATTACTCATTCTTGCAGTCAGGGAAAAAGAGCAAACAAAACCTGGAATCTTTTGGGTGGATTCATTATAATGGTGTAGGTACAGCAATTCTAAAACTA